TAAGTTGTCCGGACCCCGTGTCACGGCACTAACACCAGCAGAGCCAGGCCTCCAACTCAGACTCGGATTTTGGGCTCAGGTCTCTCAGCCACTTGGTACTTGGATGCCGCCAACGTGTGTAAGGCATGTGAAAGCCAGTAAGGAAGGGGTGCGTCCCCAAGAGAAAAATGGCCTAAGGACGTGTTACAGGCTGAACTGCATCCCCCAAGTTGCCATGTTCAGTCCTAGCCCTGAGCACCTCCAGTGTGACTGTATTTGGGGAGCGGGTCTTTACAGAGGGGTTAAGGTAAAATGAAGTACTGAGGGGGGGGCCCTGATCCAGTGGGACTGGTGCCCGTACAAAAGGAGATCAGGACAGACATATGCACAGAAGGACGACCAGGCCAGGTGAGGGAGGGCATGGGGAGGCCAAGGAGGAGAGGCCACTGGACATACCAGCCCTGCTCACACCTGGATCTCACACCTCCAGCCTCTGGAGTTGACAGAAAATAGATTTCTATTGTTTAGGCCACGTGCTGTGTGGTTCTCTATGGCAGCCCCAGCAAACTAGTACAGAACATAAACTGGAAATTCCCAAGAGGAAAAAATAAATTATGGCTAGTAAACTTTGAAAATGTCCCCTTCATATAAATATTCTATTTTACGTATCAAACTGGCCAAGATTTAAAAAAGAAAAAAACATTAATGTCGATGCTGGTGAAGGTGGGGTGACATGGGCATTGCTATCAGGAGAGCTGACTGACACAGCGTTCCTGGAGGGAGAGTGTGACAAAGAGGTGAAGAACTCTGGAAATGTTCTAGCACCTTCTCCCAGTTATTCTGCTTCCAGGCCTGCATCCTGAGGAGACCATCAGAAACGCTGTGAAGATTCACCTCTAAGGACATCAGTCACATCGTTATTTCTGCCTGTACAATTTGGGAGATCATCTATATTTTTTAAAATTTTCAATTATAATGTATTTGCATTTAAACATTACATCATTGGGATGAACCTGTTCGCACCTTGGGTGTCCAAACAGTACTGAAGTATACAGAGAGAGTCTGCTTTCAGCAATGTGGTAAACCAGATGTCCTGAAAAATCTTCAAGACATCCAAAACTAATTAATATGGTATCAAGAAAAGAAAACCTAAGTGCATGGTTGAATCAGCAAGCAAGAAGAAATTATAGAGATTGAAAAGGAAACAGGAACAATGAGTTGAGATGAAGCCCAGGGCAGCCCAGGGATGGGAGCAGCCGACAGACCTGTAAGGCTGGGCATGCTCATCTGGCATTGGGGAACCCTTCCGCACACGCACCAGGAGGCAAGCACCAGGATGCTGGAAACGCTGCAAACGTCCTGGTCGGGTGTGTGCAAAAACGGACAGTGAGGGTGTGTACGTAGGAAAGATTCATGACGTGGGAAGAGAAGAGCCAAGTCGCAGAGAAACACGCGACAAGAGTTTGTATGAAATCTAAAAACATGCAGCACTAATATTAGATTTTTAGGCTTAAATTTAACTCTAGGAAAGTCATACAGAAAACTGAAGGAGAGATAAACACAAAATCCCTTGGGGGCCCTGCTGGGCTGTCCATCCTAGATGGGGCGGCAGGGACACGTGTGGGTCACCACCGCTAAACACACATGCAGTACAACAAAGAGGCTCCCTTTTAAGTAGGAAATATTTTATAATTAAAATATTAGAAAAATGATTAGAAGAAAAAATATTAACATTATCTTTGGGCAGTAGAATTGTGGGTGATTCTCATTTTCTTCCTCTTGTTTGAATTTTCTGTTTTTTAAATTTATAGTGAATGTGTTATTTTTATCTTATGATTGTCCTTCTTGATTATAAATCTTTCAAACATACAGAAAATACTGGGAATAATATAGATGGAACACCCAAGTATTCATTGCACCAACTGAACAAATCTTGAGATTTTGCCAAATTGGACTGTTTTTGTTTTTTTCATATAAGAGAGAAGATGAATCAGAAAAAGTTGAGGCCGTCCTGTGGCCCCACCAGATCCTCTTCTTCAGAGGCAACTCGGGGTGTCTTCCTGTCCGTGAGTGCACACTTTCACATGTGGACCATAAATGATAATAATAACGCTCATAAAGGTTTAAATGTACAGGAACATTCTCACGCTGTGTGTATTCTCCTGCAACTTGTTTTTCCCCAGAATGGATGCTTGTAAGATTTCCTCATGTTGACTTGTGTAGATCTTGGTCATTCCTTTAACTGCTGTCATGTTTTCTGCTGCATGAAGAGCCCACGATACACCTTTCTGGCACCTGACGGATGGACACTCAGGTGTCCTGTTATCAAATGCCATGTGGCAGGAGCATCCTGTGCGTGTCCCCTTGGGTAGAGGTGTGAGAACTCTAGGCTTAAGACCCGACGGGAAGGTCCTCTGGGATGCAGAGGACAGACGTGCTCCCCTCGCCCAGACATTCCGGATCATTCTCCAGGAGCCTATGTGTGTGTGTGTTTGCCCACGTCCCCATCTCTCCTGGGTAGCATCTGACTTTCTAGGGCTCCAAATCTGAATGATGTAAATGCTAACCCATCGTGGTCTGAATTCTCTGTTGACGGTGGTTTTTCAATCAGACGTACAAATGTTAGAGATGCCCTTCAAAGTGAGTGATGAGATTTTACCTTTGGACAGTGAGACTCGTGTGATGACAGTGGGCACAACCAGGCAGGGACGGCCGTGGAGGGAGCTTGCAGGCGGAGGTCACATCGAATGTGACTTTAGAGGCACAGAAGGGGCAAAGGACCAGCAAGCACAGTGGGCTGGCCCTGGCTGAGGCCAGAACCTCCCCCTGTTCACGAGGAGGACCCAGGATGAGTAGTTCAAAGCCACGGCTATGAAATCCGAGTGCATGTCCAGCTATGGTAAGAGAGAATCACATGTGAAACTCTCACTTGCCTCCCATCCCTCTCCCGTGGGGTCCTCCTGTCGGCCCAGGATGGCTACGGTGAGCATGGAGGTGGGCACAGAATCTGCACCAGCTGCAGTACCGGGGCAGAGGGCAGAGGCCGTGGCGGGGGCGACAGGAGCAGGGGCTGCCAGGCCCGGGGCGCGTGGGGATGGGGCCTCCCTCCTCAGCAGACCGGGGACACTCTGCTTTTTTGAGACTCCGGGTACTGTGACAGGTCAGAATTCACATTTTGTGCTCCAGAGAGGTTTCCTGTCTCATGGCAAGCTGGGGATGCCCCCTGGGTCATCAGATGTTTAGCCCGCTCGGTCCAGAAGAGACAGCCGGGCGCGGTGCTGAGGGGCTCTGGGAAACCTCTGGCCCAGCCATATGCTCCGTAGACCATCTCCCGCCCCAGGTCTGGAGCACAAGGCACGGGGCCTAACATGTGTCTGCGATCCTGTCTCATCCGGACGGGACCTGGAATACACACTTCACCAGCAGCTTCTTCTGCGGCTCATTGTGGTTTTAAAGTAGCAAGAACCGGCAGTTCCGAAGGTCACCCAATTCAGAAATGCTGTACTCTTAGCAAAGTACCCCGCCCAGCAACTCCAGGAATCGCACGAGGAAGAAGGGCCAGACTGAGGAGGGCCCCAACCTTGCAGCAGACGACGTTGCTATGCCCCAGGCTCCGTCCTCCCCAGGTTCATGGAACAAGAACTCAAAAACTATTTGCCTCTCTTTCTAGTTATTACCTAAAAGGCAAACCTGATTATGTCACTTTGCAGCTCAAAGTCCTGGGGTGACTCCCTATTGCCCTCAGCAGAGAGTTTTTTTTTTTTAAAAGATTTTTAATGAGATGAAACTCTTTTTCAAACCAAATATTAGAATCCTAACGTGAGAGGCAGGTGTAAGTGGTGAATTTTACTACCTGTCTATAAGCTCAGGTTTATAATCTTCCTGTAAACCATCCCATGCACAAGCTAACACATGTGGGGGTCCGTTGCAAGTCTGGATTAGGGTAACACCCTATCAAATGCTGGCCTGGGTCTGGAGAGTAGATCGAACTTGGGGCCCCGGCCGTTAGATGTCTGACTTCAGCATCTGGGCCCCAGGGCACTCCCTGCATGGCAGAGCCAGCCATCCCCAGCCGTCTCCGGCCGGGCCCCAGCCCATATCTCCAGGCTGGGGTCCGTCTATACTCCCACAGGCACGAGGCATCCATCTGGCTGAGTGGACGCCCCTCCTCCCTTCCTCCAGGACTCGAGAGGCCACTCATCGGCAAGATCCAGCTCCCTCGGCCCGGGTGACCTGCTCGTGGGGCATCTCGTGAACCATCATTAGTCACCTATCACGTTGCATTGTCCTTGGGCCCCTCCCCGACGGTGCTGTGAGCCACTCACATCCTGAGGACGGGCGCATCTTCTCTCCTTACTGCCCACCATGCACGCAATGCCGTGCATAGGGGAGGCCCTGAATTTGTCATGGTGAAAGGGTGACTAAATAAGGGAACCAATGATTTTTTTTTTAAATAAAACTTGCCGCCTTTGGGGAACTAAGAAAAATTAAGGCTTTTCGTCAATGCTAATCAGAGATGCCCCCCTGAACGAAACGTTAAAAGTAAACAATTTCCCAGGGACCCGAGGCACACAATTCACTCTGGAAACTTCTTAAAAGGATGAGGTGAAGGCCCTGCAGCCAAGGATGTTTCCCGGAACTTGGGAGCAAAGCCCAGGTCTCTGGCTCCCATGAAAAACGAGGCTGCTTCTTCCCAGATGCCCATGGAAACAGCCTGGTTATTTCAGAGCTGAAGGAAGGGCCAATTACAGATGGTTTTGTTGTGAATCACCAACAAATGGAAGAAATTCTGGGTTAACAAAATGTAAATTTCAATCTGCAAAGAAACCTCAGCACACAGTTCACAAGACAGTAGAGAGTCCAACATTTCTCAGCGCAGAAAAGACAGGGCTGTGGCAGGCAGGATTTTTTTTGTTTTGTTTTTGTTCAACCTCTTTGACATGTAATAAAAACAGATAAAATCAATGTAATTGCTATTTCCCCCTGAGCTATGATCTCTTTAATCACAGCTGCTTCCTTACCCAGAATGATGCCGTTGGGTTCCTCTGGCGGCTGCCACACGATCCGCACAGACGTGAGTCTCACTTCTGGGAACACAAGCCTCACTGGAGGGCCTGGGGCTGGAGGGAGGAGAGGAAACCTGTGAGCCAGGTGCCACTACGGTGTTATGGGGGAACATGACGAGGTTACATAGGACTCTGTGGACTGGCCGAGCATTTGCGACCACGGGTGACTCTGTTCATGGACCAGACGCTCAAGGCCTTGAATGACTTTTGGAATCTAGCTGGCTCTGTGTGGCCCCCTAATGATGTTGAGAAAACACCTCATTTAGAATCCAGCTCATCTGCTTTTCCAACTTCCAGAAGTGGTGCTCACAAACCGTGCTGGGAGCCCATGAGTGCAAGGGGCGTGAGGCTGCAAGCACATCAAGCCCGAGGTCAAGATTCCGCCAATCTGGGCTGAATCCTTCTGGGGGCTTGACAGCTGCCAGCAGGTGTTAGATAAATCAGACGGCCTAAAGTCCCTCCCCACTGACAAAGTGACATGTTTACAATGAATGATTTTTCTCGTATGCACCGTCTTAGGAAATGAAGAGTTGATGCGCACAAATGCACAGAATAATTCTGTGTGGTGTGGCGCAATTGCCTACCAGTGTCATAGCCCTCATAGATATATTTACTTAAATGGGTAGGCGAGTGAGTGTCAGAACCTCTGGCTGGAACTTAATGGATTCCCAGAGAAGAGGCAATGGGCTCGGAACAACAAAGAGGATAGGATGATGTGCGTTACAGTCATTCCAGGGCCACTGAATTCTGCCTCTGGCTATTAAGTGGAGAACAGTATTTAAAATTTTAAACCTGTGTTTAAATAAATCTGTGACCCTTGGGCGCCTGGGTGGCTCAGTTGCTTGAGCGACTGCCTTCGGCTCAGGTCATGATCCTGGAGTCCTGGGATCGAGTCCCGCATCGGGCTCCCTGCTCGGTGGGGAGTCTGCTTCTCCCTCTGACCCTCCCCCCATCTCGTGTGCTTTCTCTCTCATTCTCTCTCTCTCTCAAATAAATAAAATCTTTAAAAAAATAAATAAATCTGTGACCCTTGCGTTTGGTAACATAACTGTAAGGAGGCTACAGGTTCACATGCCAGGACCAACTGCACAAATATGCAAATTTCGACGGCAGCCTTATGTGGCCTCCGTCCCCTGCGCCGTCCCCACGGCTGATCATCTGGATCACACCGAAATGAGGGAGTGGAGAGCATGCTTCTACTCGCACCGTGGGAGAAGAAGGAAAAGCATTCTGTGACTTCCAGTCTCTACTTGTGAGTTGGCCGAGGCTGGAGGTCCGTTTGTGTAACCCGGGCCGTCATGGCTTCGCATAGTTCTGCAAACAACCTCAAGGCCACTGTCCCCCGTCAGGCCCCAGCCCCCCAAAGCTCTGCATCCAGGAAAGGACAGTGTGCAGTGTTCCTAACTCTCCTCGACTGAAGCCCAGCGCTGGTGCCGTCTCCCAGGAGAACACAGAGAACCGGTCCGCTCAGCAGCCGGAGCACCGTGGGGGCCAACTGAATGACTTCCGCAGACGTGTATCAGAAAATCTACAGTTCTTCCATTTCTGTGAGAAGCTTCTGATCCCTAAGGTGGGTGTGTGTGTGGGGGGACAGCAGTATTTTCCCCCAGAATATACACCCCCTCCCCTACTATTTGCGATAGTCCGTGTAACAAAAATGTAAAAAGAGATAACCTTTAAGTGTTTGACATCTGCAAAGTGGAAAACCATATTTGCTGATGATTTAGACTTCCATAAAAACAGAGCCGTCAAGAGGTGCTTGTTATTCCGGTCTGGAGGCAGGAGTGCGGGGAGTCCGGGAGCCCGTGGAGTCCGGGAGCCCGTGGAGCCTGCCTGCCGCACTCCATGCAGGAACTTCTAGGGACCTCTTGGCGTGCGGACCATGGGAGCGGGCGCACCACAGAAATCGAGGCACCCAGGCTGGGAGTGGGGCTCTTAACCCGAGCTGTGCGGATGCCGCCAGCCAGAGCAGCCGGATGTTTTCTGGCCCCCATCCACCCGGCCTTTACTGCACTGCCTCTCGCAGAGTTATGACTGAAATGTGCAGAGGTTCCTAATTAGGCTGTAAAAATTCACTCCGGGCTGAAATTGGCCATATAAACACTCAGTGACTGAAAAGCAATTCTGTTTTGTTTTCCTCAACCAAAAAAGGGGGGGGGAAAGGGTTTGAAAATTAAGTGAAAAATGACAACCGTCCGGGTTGTTTGGGCTGTTCAGGCACATCATTACCGTACCGTCATCCTTGGTCCGCTCCAGGATGAGGGGAGAGCTGGGGACTCCATTGCCGATGCGGGTGAATGCCAGCACCTGGAGCTCGTACAGCACGAACTTCCGGAGACCGGCCAGGAGCGCCGACTGCGTGTGATTCCCTCGCACGACGTGACTGCAGGGCTCGGGGTCCAGGTCTTTGGCCCGGAACAGAATCTGGAGTGTCAGCACACAAGCACGCGCAGTCATGGGGATGCAGGGTGCCAGGAAGGGGCCCTCTCAACCACACGGCACGGACCAGCCAGCTGTGGTTTCTCCCCCACAACCGTTGTGTTTGAGGCTTGCGGATCTAGTTTCCATACGCTATGGTATGTCGGGGGGAAAATGCACTCCAGAGCAGAAGAGGACCTGGAGTTATGACCCAGCCCGTGGCTGGGGGAGCTGCCCTTGAGCCATGAATGACAAGATCTGAGGCACAAACAGTAGCCACACTGACCACGCCCACTAGAACGAGGACTCGGTCACAAATGCACACATTATGCTTCCTACAGAAGGAGCCAGCGCCCCCCTCGGTTTCCCAGCTTCTTGGGAAATTGGGCTCCTGCGTCAGGAGAGTTGCTGTGAGCCACCGGAAGCCCAGGCCGCGGTCCCCCTGGGTTCCATGCTGCTGCCCACGCACAGACACGGCACCCTGGGAGGCTCCCCTCCACAGCCCTGCCTGCGCCTGCCTGTTTGCTCAGTCTTCACTCACAGCTCACCCTGCCCGAACCAGTCCTTAGTCGGGGACCCAGAGGCCATAAAAGGTGGCGGTCCTCAGGGAGGAGCTTGGACACAGCAGGGCAAGCTCTCTTTTCTGGGACCCAGGTATGTGGTGTGGAGTTCTGGTCACCGCACCTGCCCAGTGAGATCATCACATCCAACGGGGCCTGAGGGAGCAATCTGAATGCCCAGGAGAACAGGTGGGGAAAACCAGAGACTAGGGATCGAACCCACAGAAAGCCTGGGGCTCCCATGCCCGAAGGCTGTGCAGGGTGTAACAGACGGGGGTGGCCCTGCTGGTCACATCCAGGAAAATCCATCCCGCTGCTGGGGGTAGGTGATGGAACACAAGCACAGGTGGGTAAGTGCAGGTAAGACTGAACCCAGCAAGGGCTCCCGGAGAGGCAGGAAGGCGCTCGCCCCCTCCTGCTGCCGCCATCGTCCCAGACTGCTCAGGATGCTGGCATGCCCGTGCGTGTGCTGGTAGCCAAGAACACCGACTCGGCACGCGCTGGGAGCAAAGTGCATCTTACAAAACCAAACCCCCTTCCTTCTCAGACCAGCCTCAGAGCCAGCCACCATGATCACTCGTGTTGTGCAAGCCAGGAAGCAGAGGCTTGAGTTTAAGTAGCCGGCTCCTAGCCGTGCCTTGTTTGTGCCTGTGTTAGGAGGTTGTACCCAGGCCTTGTCCCCAGATGGGAATGAAGTTTAGAGGAGACAACAGGTGTGAACATCACAACACAGGCTGGTGCTGCAGGTCTGGATGACGTTCTGCGCTCCTTGGTCTAGGGGGGTGACACGCGGGCGCACCTGCACAGCCTAAGCACAGGATGGTCACCTCCGACACGTACCTTGTAGCCCAGTATGAGCCCATTCTGGTCCTGTTCGGGCACGGAAGCCCATGTCAGTAAGATCTGGGTGGAGCTGACAGCCTCAGCGGACACGTTTTCAGGGGCGGCTGAAGGAACTGCAAAGGATGAGTAAGACAGGTTGGTACCCGAAGTTCAAAGGTTTCCATAAATAAAGGTCCAATTTTTACCCAATCAAGTTGTCCTTGAAAGAGCAACGAATTCTGAGCATTTTGGTGTGATCAGATTAAGCCTGCAGAGGGTATAACAGAAATGTAAATCTCTTTAATATTAATATTAGCAACAAATTCCACAAATCCAGGGTATTTAGGAGCTCAATTTTACCTGAGTCTACCCAGCAAGAAAAGCTGCTTGGTCTGTTTTTATATTAACTTGTGGGAGCTCCAGACTTTGATCACAAATGGGAAATCCTCACTCTCAGACACCAGTTCAGTGACATCTCTAAACGTGGTATTTTGAGAGGGGCCAGAGGTGCAGGAGAGAGGAGGGGACGTTAATCATTCACATGAAGGGGAGGGGAGGGGAGGGAAGATTTCCTAGGTGCTGAGTACGCATCCTGTGCTAGGGGTCTTCAGAGCCACAGTCCCATCTAATCGCCACAACAGCCCAGAGAGGCTGGGGTTATTAGCCCCTTTCTGCAGATGGAGAGACCAAGGCTGGAGGACTCTCCATACATTCCATTTTGCTGGTTTTTTTTTTTTTTTTTTCAATGAGATGGGCCTGTGCAGGCAAGCTGTGCAATTCTTGACCTGTGTATGTGTAAGATGATGTTTTTACTCCCTTCTGTTTATGTACGTCACTGAACTTATTTTAATTTGTCTTATATGTTTGCAGTGGTTCGGATAGAATGTGTGTAAGGACAAGAGTCAAGCTTTTAAAAGCAAGACTTTATATTCTAGATCATCTCGACTTGCTTTGAGAATTTCCCTGTGAACCCATTTAAACTTTATTCAGACAGAAAAGATAGATCCAGAGTTCCCCAGCAAAGTCAGGGGATACAGTGTCTGCAGACAGGCACGGCGCACAAGGAACCCGTCGGCTGTGGCCTGAAGGTCAAACCACCCACGACCCTCCAGAGCCTCTTTGGTCAACTAGGAGGAATGCTGCAAGTCCACTGGGTTTCAGGGAGAGTAATATGGGATAGGACTCTGGCATTCAGAGCGGGAGGGATCACTCTGCAGAGGAGGGAATGGAGGCTCTGAGCGGTCACATGGCCTGTCCACATCCCTAACAAGTGACAAAATCACCCCTTGAAGCCGGGAGGCCTTGAGGTGTTCACAGGGAAGCAACAGGCTCACAGGCTCTGGAGCAAGACCGGACTCCATGAGAATCCCAAGCCGTGTGACCTGGGGAAGTTGCTGTACCCCTCTGGGCCTTGACTGTCCCATCTGTGAAATGGTCCAGTGCAGCCCACCCCTCCTCCAGCCTGTCTTTCTGTCTCCCCCATCTCATGCCCAGCACTGGGCTTTGCAATGAGCAGGAGATCAGCAGCTCTCTGTCCGGAAGAAGGTGAGACAATGACACCATAACGTCCCTTCCCTATGGGAGGAGGGTGAGTGAAAGGCTCCCAAGCACCCAGCACCCATGGTGTCCACTCCCTTCCCCCCTGCAGTCCCACCGGGGCTCTGTGAATGGAGGGAGGCGTGCCTTCAAGTGCACCTCCGAAGCAGGAATGCTCCGCTCACGGGGGCTCTCTCCACCCTCCATCCGTAGACCCCCTCTACATTCATTCATTCTTTCATTCATTCACACAAGCACTCTCTCCTCCTAGCAAAGTGGCTGCTGGTGGCTAGCTCACTCAGTTACTCTGAATATACAAAGTAATGGGGGTTTGCACAATAACGCTGCTCTCTGACATTGGCTTCCTGGATTTTCTTCACTGAAGGGATTTGGTCTTCGTTACGGGTTGAATTGTGTCCCCCTCCCCCCACCCCTGGCCTCCATACACTGAAGTCCTAACCCCTGGTAGGTCAGAATGTGACCTTATTTGGAACCAGGGTCATTGCAGATGTCATTGGTTAGATGAGGCCATACTGGAGTAGGGCAGCTAATCCAGTACGACCGGTGTCCTTCTAAGAGCACCATAGGAAGAGACAGACAGCCGCAGGGAGACCGCCATAAGGAAGTCTGGAGGAACATGGCCACGAGCCCAGAAGCCACCGGGAGCTGGGACAGGGCGCTGGAGCAGATCCATCCCCAGCGTCTGCAGAGGAACGTGGTCCTGCCGACACCTTGGTGTCCAACTTCTGGCCTTCAGAACGGTGAGAGAGTCAATCTGCGTTGTTTTAAGCTCCCCAGTCTGGGGTGCTTTGTTACGGCGGCCGCGGGAAACTAATACTGTATTTAAGGAAAAAAGCTCCAGGATTCACGTAGGTCCTAGAAGAGCTGTTACCTTATCTGGCAGCTTGGCCAGATCACCACGGCAACCAGTGGTTCCTGTAGACAGAGGCCGAGGGGAGAAACCAAGGAAAGCCTGAGAGGGCACGTTGCTGAGGGAACACGGAGTCTGGGGGGGGTGGGCAGGACTTGGCACCTTCTGGTCCCCAGAGAGTGGAGTCATGGAGGCCCGCTGGAGGCAAAGCCCTCAGCTCCAGCCCCAAGACTGGCTGACTTCCCTGGCCTCCACAGCCCAGCGGCGGTCCTGTCCCCCTCTACCCACCACATCGACCATCTACTGAACCCAAGCATTAGACTGGCTGCCAGTGGAGGTCACCCGGTGTGTCCCCAGAACAGAAGAGTCACCTGTTTGTGCCTGTTTGCATAATGGTTCAGGGATCTTCCTTATACTTTTAGAGAGATAATGCCGGTCAGCCCATACCTGCTAGATATGCTTTTTCTTCCCAAATATGTCAGTCGAGAGTCATTCATACGGTTGGTCAGCTGTTCAACAAAACAGTATTAATTTATCTGAGCAGCTAAGTGTCACAACAAAGAATCTTTATAATTTCAAGCTTACTCGGCTCTCTAAGGGAAGTGTGCTTGCCACCCACACCTCCCCGCATCCCCCATGCCTTCTAGTGGCGGCTCCTGCAGGTTCCACTCATGTTCTCCTTGCCCGAGGGGGCTCCCGCCATGCCAGTCACCAGGACATCACTCACACATATGCTTATTATATTTAAGAAACAAGGGATACACTGCTACCTGGATTCAACTGTGACTTAAAAGTCACAACCACTCGAAGAACAGGCAAGCCGACAATTTATCGGACTTTATTTAGAGTCAGATGAGAACTGCGAAGGCGCTGCATGCCCATGACTGCAGTGCTGTGTTCTAAGAACTGTCCCTGCCTGTACAGAGAGAAGCCACTGTCATAGCAACACAACGCGTCTGCCTCTCCAATCTGTAACCATTTCCTGCGGGCCCATCTTTGACACCGTGAGTGCTCAGTCCTCACTACGGACCTACAAATAATACTGATTTTCTAGGGTGTGGTAATATGTGCATCCCTTTCCTGAAGGGCACCCACACCCCCAAAGAAGGAAGGCCCCCTGGCGAGGGGGGTGACCCGGACATGGTGCCGAGAGCTCGGTGGGGTCTCCAAGGACGGAGCCACAGAAAATGGATGCATTCCGGATTATAGTGTCAGTGGATTCAGATCCCACCAGGATCCAATCTGCCATTTAGTTAAAAAATATCTATGTTTTTAAGATTTGGTTAAAAAAGAAAAACCTCACCCATTATCTGTTTTGAGGTAGATTAAACTCCCTTTCCAACCTGCCATCTTGCATTTGGGGACAGTCCTAGAGATTCCCGTTCATGAAGAACAATCCCGATTAAAATGCTTCTCTTTTCCTTCATTTGCTCTCTCCTCTACAGGATTCCTCACTGCTCAGTCTTTTGATGTTTAGGGCCTCATTTATCCTTATATCATCATAAATCATAGGATGTCATGAAGCCAGTTAGATCGTACTTCAAAATGGGAAATGTTATTTCAGCGTGGTTCAAAATATTCTACTCTGTGCTTCCCACACCGGCTTTCCGTATGCCCATTACTGTGCCGTATGTGAGTACCCACGTGTGGCCATCTCCACGAGACACGGGTCTGCAGTTTTATTCTCCCCATCAGCTCCCTCCCCTTCTTCCCTCTCCATCCAGCTGCGTTCCACCACTGGGCCTTGCAACCCCTGCACCCTCTCCTACCCACCCCCAAGGGTTGAGCAGTGCCTGGAAGGATCTGTTCTTGGAGGGGCGATTCCTCTGCTGGACGGAGGAAGGTAAGACATCAACGCTGCTGCAACAGGGAGGGGTCTGCCGGTCAGAAGTGAGGGGCTGCCCCCAGCAGGAGGTTCTGGAAGCACTGTTCAGAGGGAGGAGATGCCGAAGCCCCAAAGGACCAGCAACATTGGAAGGGGTGCCAAAGAATGCCCCAGGTTGGGGGGACCAATGTCTGAGCACCAGTACTCTTGGGGGAGAGATCAGCCTAAGAGGGGTCCCCAGGGGCCCACTTTTCCAGCATTAAAAATGTCCAAAGTCTAAGTCATCTCATCTTGAAATGAAGATCAATAACCCTATTATCCAATTTGTGATGAAAACACCTGCAGAACCAAATCTCTTCCAATTGAACATCCCATTAAAAACTAAAAAATAATTCTCTGTAAGCCAGAACCCTCAAAATAAGAAAGAATGTGAGAGCATAAAGGAGAACTTACATTGCAAGAAAAATTTCTAGACCAGAAACCTTCTCAACAAGCAAACGATGAATGAGGCAATACTGGAATCGATGCAGTTAGTTCCGGGGGCTGCCTATGATTCTCCTTTAGCTGTGTGTACCATGTTCGTGTTGGGTTTTGACAAAAACAAACTCATTATGACTTTTTTTTGATACCAAAGCCGCACCTTGATATTAACTAAAACACAGAAATGCCTACAAAAACAAACAGTATTGTTCAAGAGAGTCTCCTCAGAGTTATCGGGTAGGAGGTGACACAAGATTGTCTGAAGGGAACAGAGCTAGAAGAAAGCATCTGGGGTGAGTTGACGCATAGAGTGGTTTCCTCAGCATTCTCCTGACCACTGCAAAGGAAGCTTGCAGCACTGAATAGATTTTTACAAAAATATAGTCTCACCTCAGCAATTTTGCCATGGGTTTGCTTTGTCTTTTGAGAGCGTTCTTTGGAAACTTAACAAAACGGTATTATTTTCCATTTTTATTACATTTTATTCATCCTTACACGTCATTTAGCTTTCAGTTTTCCGAACAAAATCCTTGAAAAGTAATTTAACTGAGTGTAACACTTGAGGTTAATAGTTATTGCCTCTCAGCTCCTTCAAGATTATTCTCATTCCATTATGATTCCATTGTTCCATTGTCTTCTAGCCTCCACTGTTCTTGGGAAGCCGGCTTCAAATCGTCTTGCCTTCTGTAGGTAAGATGCCTTCCCTCCAAGTGTTTTTAAGATTTTCTCTTTGGCTTTCATGCTCTACAGTTGCAGCATAATGCATTTTGGTGTGGATTTATTTTATTTATTCTGCGTAGGATTCACTTTTCTTCAGTCTGATAAAGTATCAATTCTGAAGCTTCTCGGCTATTATCTCTCCATATTTTCTTGTTCTCATCTACTCCCTCCTTCCCCTCTGAATCTTTATTAGATATATGCTGGACCTTCTCATTCTATTCTTTATGTCTTTTAACCTCTCTACCATGTTTTCAGTCTCTGTGTCTTTGTGCTGTATTGTAGGTTACTTACTCATATCTAGTTTCCAGTTTGGTACGTCTCTCTTCAGCTGTGTCTAAACCACTTTTCACCTAATGGTAGTGTTTTATTTTCAGTGGCTGTGTCCTATTTGTTTTTCATAAAAAGTGCTTTCAAAATGGCATCTGAATCTTTACCTAAAGTTTTAATGCGCTCTTTTCATAATTTAAGACTACAGTCTTATTTTATATTTATTCCAGCTCTTATCGGGATATAATTGATACACCACGTTGTGTAAGATTAACGTGCACAACATGTTGATTTGAGGCACTTATGTACTGCAAAGAGACTACCACCGTAACATTAGCTAACACCTCCATCAGTCACAAAGTTATTGTTCCTTTTTTGCAGTGAGAACATTTACAATCTACTCTCTTAGCAACTTTCAAGCACATAATACAGTATTATTAACTATAATAGCTATGCTATACATAAGATTACTCAGAAGTTATCATTTTATAACTGGAAGTCTTTAATAATTTTAAATATACTTATTACATATTCTCTTTCATACTAGCATGTATTTTAAAGCAATCAGAGCCCAATTTCCTCCCTTCCTTTCTCCCTCCATTCCTTCCTTCTTTCCTTCCTTCCTACCTACCTACCTACCTACCTGAAGAAGATCTTATTTTTACTCATGGCAGAGTATTTCCTTGTGTGTTTGAAAGTTGTGAGTTCATCTTTTAAAAGCTGATTTTTATTTGGGATAAGTTGGCTGTGGCAACATCTCTCCAGTGATGTTTTCTTCTTTGTTGCCCAGAAAGTCTGGCCTAGAACCATGTTTCTTTCTTTCTTTCTTTTTTTTTTTTGTCTTTTAAAAAAATTTTGTTGTTTTTAGAGGACAGTGAAATCATTTATTGGGGTATAATACATAATCTTTCAGGAAGAGTGGATCACTATTTCCCCTGGGGTAAGAAGATTTTCTGCTCAGTGAGGATGCTCTTCATGGCCTTCCAATGATATACAAAGTGTACAATATCTGAACCATACTTATTTTAATAACACTTAACATCTGTTATCGTCCAACTTGTTTTTCAATTTTATTTTACCCACCTTAGGGGTGTGAACTAGTATCTCATTGTGGTGTTTTCATTTCCCTGGCAGTGAATAATGTTGAGCATCCTTTCATGCGCTTAACGACCATTTGAATGTCTTCTTTGGAGCAATGTCTGTTCAGATCCTTTGTCCAGTTTTTAACTGGGTTGTCTTTTCACTGTGGAGTTGTAAGAGTTTTTTTATATACATCCTGGATATGGGTCCCTTATCAGATGATTTGCAAATACCTTCTATGATTGGGGGACTGCTTTTCATTGTTGTTGTTTTGTTTGTTTGTTTTACTTTATGGTGTTCTTTGAAGCACAAAGGTTTTCATGTTAATGAAGTCTAAATTTTTCTTTTGTTGCTTGTACTTTGGTGTCTGGAACCAAGTTTTACATTAATTTCTTTTCTAGGAGTTTCTGGACCAGACAGAGTAAATTCAGAACCCAAACCTGAGCTGGGCACAGGACTTAGAGTTACATTTATTTTTCCTATTCAGAGTCCAGGTAGACAGACGGACACAGACAAACTCCCCTGGGCAGAGATTTCCAGTCTCCCCTTTCAACGAGGGCACAGCATTGACGAGCCTGGTCTGTGTGTGCAAAGGCCTTGATTCTAACTCCCCGCCTTGCGTGGACTCGTGGCTGAACCTTCTGTTCCTGGATGGGCACCATGTCGTGAGTCCTGAAGCTCCCAGGATGGATGCCCACCACCCCCCCCGTGCCAAGCCCCCAGGGCAGCCTCAGCACCAGCTCAGCCCTACTGTTTCAGTCCCTGTGTGCATCTGACATCTGGAGATTTTCTCTGTTTTTCTTATGAGGACATCAATAAATTCTAAATCTCAAAAAATGATATTTTGCCCATAATTTTCTAGTTAGTTACAGCAAAGTTGTTTTAAAAAATATTTTCTTGCTCTGCCTATTACTGGGGTTAGAATGGTCCCCTTAGAATGTTTCAAGTCCTCTTCTTTGTCACAAAGACTCAGAGACTGAATAGAGCTTTTTAAAAATCCACGTGATTGCACAGCCACAAGCTGAACGTAGTGTCTCAATCTTTTATTTCTTTTTTTAAATTTTATTTTGTTATGTTAATCACCATACATAAAATTTACAGCTTGAAAGAAGGCCAGGAAGGCATCTGAGGCAGCCCTAGCTACTCTGGGAAACCTCTCTTCAAGTATCAGTCCTCTTGGAAGGGGAGCAGTACGCTTCCTTCTCTTCAGGAGACAACCTCGCCATTTCAGGAAAGAACTGGTCTATGTTCCAGTGCATCTTTAAACGTGACAGGAGCCCTCTTTGTCACTCCACAAACTCAAACCAGGCTAGCAGGGGTCCCTCAAACCACAGGTCAGCCCACAAAGCCCAGCAGATCAGGGGAACACATTGGTCCTTACCAGACTGCATCCCAGGCTACTGAGTACTGACCCAAAGTATTTAGTACTTTTCTTTTCCTCCCTGGCCACCAGCAGTAACCCCAAGCCTGGTGGCTCTGCATGGACGGATGTATGCCATTTCTGGACAGTGTTAGGGAGCAGGGGTGCCCACTCTTTGCTCTTTCTTCTTCCTTGGGTAGCTGGGCACAGACGAGGATTGGGCCTACAGCACAGCAGAGCCTGGGTCCTTGAATCAAGAGGAAGAGAGCCATCCACTGAACAGGACACCCATCCTACTCGGCGATGAATGAGAAATGAAGCTCTACTGTGTCAAAGCAATCGAACCTTTGAGGGGCTATTTGTTAGTGCAGGGGAGATGATCTTAACCCGTCCCACACGCTACTTTGTCAAGAGGAGGTCCTGAGTGTCTTGTGTTATAAAGATCTCCCTTAGAATCTCTATACACCCTTGCTTATTACCACTAATTGTGAAATTATACCTAATTTAAAAGATAATACCATGAGTCCAGCCCCTGGTAAGACCCACGATTAATTTCAAATTAGTGGCGTGGGCTCTAATGACATTTTCCTGAAATTACTGTCGAGGCTGACCTGGGTTGGGAAAGTGTCGGCATAGACAGCGGGGACAGAGACAATGAGCTGCGACACGGGGATGGGGGGGCACGGAGCCCCATCTCCAGGGAGACCCGGTTGGGGCTGAGCCTCCACCTCACCTGACTCCCGCGTGCGGCCCCGCACTGCCTCGCTCCAGGGCCCAGCCCCGATGGCGTTGAATGCCTGCATTTGGAGCTCGTACTCTGCCCACTCCTCTAGGCCCTCGACGGTGAACTCCCTCTCCAGCCGGTCGTTGATGACTTGTGCCAGCGCCTGCGCCTGGAGGTCGGGGCGCCAGTACTTAATCCTGTAGCCCACCGACTCGGGGTTCCCGTTGTACTGGGAATCGGGCAGTGGCTGGAAGCAAATGACATGTGTGGTGAGCCAGCATCTCAGAAATGCCACCTGTCAAGGTCCTGAAGCATCAGCCTGTCTTAGCAGACCAAGTCCATGGAAAACATTTTCCAGGAGGAATAGTCTTAGAACCTTTACCACGTGGTTCCCTGGAACTTTTCTTCCGTTAATTAAATGAAATCCTGTCAGTAACTTGGGCTAAACATAATTTCTTTTAATACATTTTGGCTTAATTTCGTGGGGGAAATGTTCTGAATAAATATCAAGCTGGCTCTCCTACAAACATTGAGTGCTGGCTCTGTGTTGAACCAGCTTAAGGACTTACAGGTCCACCCTGTGGCACACTGGCTTCCCTCCCCCAAAGAATATTCCTCTGTTCCAAGAAGCAAGTGAGTAATGCTGCTCATTAACAGGGTCGCCTGGGCTGGTCTGCGACCCAACACCAACTGTAAAATGCAATACTTTCTAGTTTAACGGAGAGATTAGCTTGGACTAGGATGAAGCCATGACTAAGACACCACTAAACTCTGGCTTCACATGCAGACCTGGATAGTCAAGGTGACTGTCCCTGCACCCCACTTCCGGCCCCCGACTCACCACCCAGCGGAGCCGCAGGCTGGTCTCACTGGCCGTTCGCACGGTGATGCTGGTGGGAGCCACATCAGGGGGGGCCTGCAGGGTCTGGATGACCCGGGATGACTGGCTGAAGGGGCTGGTACCGACAATGTTCACCTGCCTCATGCGAAATCTAGAGGTAAAACCGTGGACACAGTTATTCTACAGGAAAGAACAAAAACCCACCACCTTCTCAGAAGGATCTGCTGTGTGTCCTTCTGTGTTGTAAAGGCTGTTGCCCAAGGACGCCCTCTTTCCACCTCATGAAAAATGCAAATTGCATATTTGGCCCTTTCCCCCCAAAACCTCCAAAGAATGGTAAATTTGTTCCAATGCAAAGATTTTAAATTCCCAAGCAAAGCATAATTGAATGGGTTACATGGCCAGAAATCTGTGTCATTTGGTGCCATTGGCTGATTCGTGTTTAGGGTAAGGTTGGGGGATTAGCGGTTGAGGCGTCAAATGACCTTGAAGAGTCTGGTTGTTTCAATGAGCACTGGTATCTGCACCCCATTCTCTGTTGGCTCAGGAGAGGAGCACTGGCCCCAGAACCCACACCCTGGGACTCCAACCCCACTGGTAACTGAGACCTGAGGCAAATCAGACTCGCCCCCATTTCCTTACCTATAAAATGAGGGTGGGGTGGGCGTGCTTTAGAGACTTGGTTAATGTTTTCAGTTCTCTCTCCTTTATTTATTTGTACGATTACTTGGAGTGAACTTCCACCCTGGAAACACGCCCTGAGTACACACGCATATTCACCACAGAGGCTGGAAGAGGACGGGGGTCTCCAGTCACAGTTTCTGACTTTGGACGCAATGATACAGCTGGTACCAGCTTCACAGGGTAAGCCTGGAGGCCCTGCAGCTCGGTTTTTTTTTTTTTTTTTTTGAGAAATATTTTTCTCTGCAAATGAGTGTATGGTGTCTTGATTCGTCTGCTCTGATCTCAGGGAGGATGTCTGAACTGCAGCTTTCATTAAGCTTTGTTTTAAAAAGCTCTAACATCAGTATTATGCCGAAAAAAAAAAATGTTCTTCACGAAGATGTAAGGTCACCTTTTACTCTCTGAATTAGTCATTCTTAGTCTTTTGATCTTATGAACAATGACATTATCAAGCTCAACATCTGGTGATAACTGGAAATTTCATCTCAGTCAATGATTTTATGGGAAGTTATAACATCTCTAATGGCTTGTGATCATGCTAGCCTTTCTTAAGGCCAAGGATTTACTGCCTGGATAGGTTTCAGGATCAAGAAGTGAAAGGTTACATGGCATGTTAAGTGCTTGATTAGTGAGCCCCACAATTCCTGGGTACTGGAAGGGGGAAGCAGAGGATAGTCCCAGGACAGCTGCTCTGTTTCCAGACAGCATGTTGATAGTCCCAAGTGGTCGTGGAGTTTGTGAGGAAAGGCCGCATATCTTAGCTGCCTGTGGCTCTTGGTATTGAGCCTAGTGTAAGAGTGAGCCATTGCCACTGGTGTTGATGGCAGGAGGACTGCTAACCCAGCATCGGGGATAAACTCTCTCTGGGAAAAATACTCAGCCATGTATCTTGCTCCTAAGGTTCAGTGTACTATTATTGCCCCTTGGAAATGTCTCAATCACATGCATGTAACTGGGTTTTGCTCTTGCAGGCAAGCATGAATGCCACTTGTTGGTGTTGTTAGCCTTCCTCCTGTGGCGGTTCATCACCTGCTGCTCTCACCTGTAATGAGTGTAGGGCGTGAGGTTTGGGATCTCCAGCGTCTGGGTGTCGGGCTCATTCTCCTCCTCATAGAGGCTGACCCACTCCTCCTCATCACCAATGGCTCCAACCTGTGGGAAAGACAATCCTCAGATGGGACGGATGAGCTGTGGTGTGGAGGATGCCATTTACAGGATGTGTGGCTGCCTGGTGCATGTCGGGCTGGGCAGACCCACGCTGTGTCCCCCACATGGGCAGATAATTGGATCTTGCACACACACCCTCAACTAAGCCCTGGAGATATAGCTCCTGCTGTTCCCGCTAAGGTCAGGATCTGGAAGATGGAAGTCTCTGGGAACAAAACTCCCAGGGCTAGCCAACTGGAAGGGACCTCCCCATGCCATCCTGTCCTTCCTCCTGGCTGACAGGTGAGGACTCAAAGAGAGGCCCAGAGAGAAGACTTGGCCAGGATCCTATTTAGGGTCCAGAGCCATTTCCACCACACACTGCCCAGGGGGACTCAGTCTCTCCCTGTTCCCGCCCTGCCCACTTCTGTGCCAAACACACACCAAAGAACCAGCACAGGCCTTGCACAGAGAAGGACTGGCCACTGCCCTGGGAGCCAGACCAGCAGGCCAAGTCAAGAGAGCCATGAGGGGGGACACCATGACTGCAAGCCAGCCAGGAAAGCCCTAATTCTGCCACGCAGGGCTCTGCATCCCTGTGCCAGGAACACTCGGCCTTGTGCAGACTGTGTGGCTCTGGGGGACCCAGCAGACACATGTGGAGGGAAGGCTAGGAGCACAGAGGGGGTTTCAGGCCAAACAAGCTGGGGTAAGGTGGGTCAGCCGAGGGCCTTCTGCTCTTAATGCTTCATAAATCTGTCAGATGACAGTGCAAAAATGTGCTCATTAAGCTTGCAGAGAGACTGGCAGGCAAGTAGCCAGGTGGCTGGGGGACAGCACAAGAATGTGAAGTCTTGGAAAACTGGAGAAAGGTCTAGGAGGGCGTGGAGGGGGCCAAGCGGACACAGAGCTGTGCGGCCCATGTCTTCCAGAAAGATAAATGCAAACTCGAGGCTCTAAATACTCTACGTGGAAAACATGGAAACAATTTGGCAGTTCCTCAAGAAGTGAAACGTAGAATGAGCCTATGGGCCAGCGATTCCACGCCCAGGTGGATGCCGGAATGACCCGGAAGCCGGTCCTCTAGTGAGCATGCGAGTGCACGTGTTCATGGCAGCTCTCTTCACAACAGCCAAAGGGCAGGGCCACACGAAGGCCGGTCGGGGGTGGCACAGACGAACACCGCGGTGTGTCCACACGGGGGAATACTAGTCAGCTGTACAAAGGAACCTACAACCTACAACATGGGCGAACCTCGAAAACACGATGCTGAGTGAAAGAAGCCAGACCCCAAAGGCCACGTTTATATGATTCCACTTTATAAAATTTACAGAACAGGTAAATCCACAGAGTCAGAACGCAGATGGGTGGGTGCCAGGGGCTGAAGGAGGAGGGAAAGGGGTGTCACTGCTTAATGGTATGGCATTTCCTTCTGGGGTGATGAAAATGTTTGGGAACCGGGTAGAGTAGGTGGTTGCATGACATCGTGAACACACTAACTTGTGAACTGTGCACTTTAGAATAGTTAAGTTTACATTATATGAATTTCACCTCACTTAGAAAAAAAGTGTTAAGGGGCGCCTGGGTGGCTCAGTCAGTTAAGCGTCTGCCTTCGGCTCAGGTCCTGATCCCGGGGTCCTGAGGTCAAGCCCCACGTTGGGATCCTTGCTCAGCGGGGAGTCTGCTTCTCCCACTCCCTCTCCCCCTGCTTGTGCTCTCTCTGTCAAATAAATTAATAAAGTGTTAAAATGTGGGACGACCGCCAGAAACATTTGGTGAAGACCCGGAGATCAGAATCAACGAGCAGCCCAGAATCAGCAAAGCAGCGAGACAGTTGAAGGGGGCAGTGAAATCAGGAGAAGACGAAGCAGTTTCCACAGCTGGGGGCAGGGTGGACGGCCTCCAGGACCCCTGCACCCAGGGCGGCCAGCCTCCTCCAGTCCTCAGCACTGGGACGCCCACCGGAGCCTGCAGACCCTCACTTCAGAGACACAGGAATGAAAGAGGGAGAAAACAGACGTAGATCGAGGCTAGATCCAGGTGGCGCAGAACCCTTGTCTTGGAGAATGGGAGGGTCTAGGCTAACCCGGGTTAGACGAGCTATGGCCACAGATGGCACTACGTGCCCCCAGGGCCCATGGCGGCCACCTGCCTCCTCCACCGTGCCCGTGAAGTGCAAGAGGACCAGCAGGGGAAGACCACAGCCTGGGTCCATGCAACGCTGCTGGGCAAACAGAGGTGAGTCCCCCTGAGGGTGTGACGTCAGGGGGCACACTAATGTCCCTGCAGGAGGCCTGCTTGTAGCTCAGCATCTGGCCCACGCAGCAGGCATCTGTGAGACGAAGGGCAGGGGAGCTGACAGGACCCGCAGGGCTGGAGGGAGTTGGGGACCCCAGTGCTGTCACTCCGGAGGAAGCCGCAGCTGCACAGCAGACTCGGAGGGTCCGTCGCGGCTCCGCACGGCTCACGGACGCCTTCCGGGCCTCCAGCAGCAGGGCTGGGACCACGTGTTCTGCTCAGTTAGCACCGCTCTAGACGTTAACAAGATTTACGAATGCCTTAAAGCCAAAATGCTAACAATCCAGGTGAATTGTACGGAGCGTCAGGCCCCCTCGATCGGGGCCTCACAGGAGGGTTTGGTGGTTTCTGAGCCCCTGGTGACAGGTGAGCTGCTCTCAGTGAAAGGGATCCCTGGGAGGCTGAACCAGAGAGCCTGTACTATTTCTTGGAAGACAAGTTTGGGCGGGGGGGTGGAGGAAAGAGGAAGAAAGGAAAAAGGAAGAAGAGATGACTTCAGTTTCAGGGCAATCAGTTCAAGACCTTTTATTTACCGCTGGATCCCAGGCCGACACGCCGCGGAGGGCGCTGGCGAGCAGGGTGTCCACGGCACGGAGCGACGGAGGCAGGCGCCGGCTGCGGGCACCTGCCCACTGCCATTGGGCACCGCGGTGCCCCGTGCTGCCACGGTGCCCTCGTGTCCTTCCGTGTCTCTGCGTGTGTGCGGGAAACATGCACGCTCGGTGCTGACTTTTGGCCAAATCCCCAGGCCCAACTGTGGAGTTCCCTCTGCTTCTGCAAAGCCACTCCTCCCCCCTCCTCCCTCCCGGTGCCCCAGTCCCACCCCTCCAACTGTGGGGGCTTTGTCTGAGCTCCTGGTGCAGAGGAATGCCCCAGGTTAAGAAAGCACGGCAGGTGGTGGCCGGCACCTGGCCTTGAACCCGCCATGTTTGCATTCCATCTGCCTGGTTGCCTCGCTTGGCCTGGATGCATTCATCCACTGTCCGGGTGGCTGCCCTGACCCCGGCCTGCCCCTGGCCATGCAGCCACCGTGGTTGACAGGGCTTGGCACGCGGCCTCGGCGGGGTCAGCAGCGGTCAGCCGCACTGGGTTCCAAGCCCGTTTCATCCACGTTCCTGCGAAGATGGGTGGAGAGCGGGCAGGGCCTCCTTCCCGGGCCTCTGGCGGAGCATCCACGGGCGGTGCGAAGGCAGGCCAGGATGAAGTAGCGGGCCGCCGCAGGCTAGTGTGGTTCTCTCGGAACGCTGGCCCGCAGCTCCACCGCCAGGACGTGGGGCGCCGGCAGGAGGAGGACTCCTACTTAGCCTCCCCCGGGGAGAACGCTGTCCACTGGAGGGCCTCTGAGCAGGGAGGGCTCTCCTCCCGGGGCTCCAGGGCCCTGCGGCCGTGCTCACCTCCGCCAGCCCCAACATGCCTTCTGAGAAGGTGGTAGCTGGCTGAGTGCAGCCTCCAGCTGTCGGGCTAGGACGAATGGGAGGAGACCCTCAAGGTCACACTTCCCCTGAGTGCTCTGTTTCCTTTTTTAAAAACCTGGATTTGGATGAGTGCCAAATGAGCAGCGAGCCCAGGTAGGTGCCGCATGGCTCCATGTGGCTCTTCCTGCCACTTCTCCCTGCAAAGCCAGCCTGTCATTACCTGGAGGCATCACTCAGCCTCAAACACCTGTACCTCGCAATCGCTCTGCCCGCTCTCTAAAGTGTGCCCCGCCTCCTGCTCCTCTCCTTGCGGCTGGTGAGCTCCTCTGGAATCTGCAGAGCATCTGGGAAGCTTCCGTGAACCACAGCCCCAGTACCCCTGCCTTCCCACGACCGGGCTGCTAATTCTGCGCTGTCAGGGCATCTTCTGTGCACCTGACATACAGCACTCCTCCCACCTGTTGCATCCCCTTAAAGACACGACTCTCCTACAAATACATGGTAGGTGTCAAAGATTCCTTTTGCTCGTGGATGAGGGAACCAGCAAGGTACTGGAACTCGTTCAGAGAATACCAGATTCGAAGCACGTGGAGTCCTCAAATGAGGACACTGCGACAGGGTGGCCAAGATATTAGTAAAGCCAGTTACAAGAGCACGGCAATCATAACCTCTGGGCGTGCGGCTTTCCATCTTCTCTAAGCTCACGTCTAACCTCACAGAGCCTGGGCCGAGTCATAAATAGTAAGACAAACACAGTTATAGTCCTTAAGACAGATGAGCTATAGGCAGGCTTATGAAACCAGGCCCTGGTACAGGAGTCAGCACACCACAGCCCGAGGGCCAAATCTGCCCCACCTCCTGTTGTTGTAAATAAAGTTTTATTGGAACATGGCCACACTCATTGGTCTGTGTACTGCCAATGGCTATTTCCACACTCCCACAGCAGAGCCGTGTGGTTGCAGCAGAGACCACCTGCCCAAAGGCCTGAAGAATTAACTCTGGCTCTTCACAGGACAAGTTTGCCAGTCCCTGCGGTGGTGTTTCACCAACATGACACGCAGTGCTCCCTCTAGCTCACTTCCCAGGTGTCCTGCCACGTGTGTTCTCCCTTTTGTCTGCATGTGAGCCCCCAGGCAGGTTTGGGGTCTTACTCCCCTCCGTACCCCAGTATCTCCCCCAGGGTCCAGCTCAGGCTATTGACTCCACACACAAGTGAATCTGCGGTGAACATGTGCATGGTTTCAAAATCAGTATTTAAAATGGGTTGTCTTGCACTGAGTTCCAAAGCAGATG